AACGCTTAATCAGCTCTGTGTTCCCATAACACATACGAGATGGCTCGTGGGGATGGATATATCGATACACTTTAACTTGCTGTAATAAGACCAGCCACGCTTTGTAACAAGATTAAAACTTTATAAACGAGACTGAGCGTCATGTGCCGAGTACACGATGCTATAGCTGGGAGTTTGTATTCTCAAAAGCATCATGCAGACGTAAAGATAATAGAATTGGGACTGAGTAAAGATTTTTTTTTATAGAAAGTAGAAACAGCATGTGAAAGCAGCTAATATCGCTTGAGCAGCCTTATCTCGCTTGATGCAAAGATCTGACACTGTGTCTGCAGTATTTACAAATTAAGTTGTGCCGTTTTTTCTAAAGGAGCGCGAACATATTATGTGATCTATGTGAGCTCAATCAGACCGTATCTTGACTATGACCTCATCTATTTAGATTTGAGGGATTCTAGTAAATGAACAGCTCAGGTGCACCTGCCAGCCACTTACGATCGACGGAAAAGTGGTCCACTTATGCCTCATCAATCTGCGTCGGCTGCGGCTAATCATTGGCGGCAGGCTCCCTTGAGCACGTCGACGCCTACGAGAATCGATATGCGTCCGAAGCTGAGACGAATCAAAGCTTAGTTACGCTCATTAACTTTTGCTGTCAGATTTCGTGATTCGAGTCATCCCCAGTTGCGCAGAACCGCGTCGCTCTCAGGACTCAGCTACAAGGGATGGTAGAGTCGCTGGTCCGTCTGCAACAGAGCATTATATATCTGACTGGCACGTAAGAGTGAAAAGCGGTGTGGCTCCAGTAAGCCCGTGCAGAACACAGAACGTTCTTTGGGATGCTAGACGTATAACTCAATCCCTTTTTTAGCTACGGCCATGAGCGGTTTGATATAGAGCTTCGCAACTTGTTCATATAGACCGCATACATCGCATGAAGTGGTGAGTCATCTGCATTTACTGTTTTTTTGCCCCACTGAATAAACATATGTGCGTGGCCTCCCTCTAGTATCGGTGTGGTGCTATTGCACAATCTACCGTAACGTCGCACATCATGCGCATGGTACTTCACCTCACTGAGATAAAGTCACATCTTTTTACAAATACTATACAAGATCCAATTTGTGGCCGTGAGAAATACACCTTTGGATTTGTCAAATAATTTGAGGTTATGCTTGTAGGAGTGTTTTAATTCAATACGTGGGCAACGTGCTCCAGTATTGTGGTCTCTTCAAGCAATAAATGATATCCTCCACTACGCACTTTTTATCAAACCATCTTTTTGGTGTCACATACCACCTCATGAGTTGGCGACACCACTATCGTGATATGTGATACATTATCGTCGGGGCGACTCGAAAGCGCGTTCTTCACCACATTCAGCAGGACAGCCTACACTTTTTAAACTCAACATTAAAGGAGAATCATCTCGCCATACTCTGTGATAGATGCAATTGCAACATCGCTGTGTGCAACGACGCATGATCTGTGTCGATCACAAAGGACTCAGTGTCAGGTGGGCTCGCATTGAAGCTGGCGAGGATAAACTTCGTTGCAAGTAGCTTTTTGTCATGCACGCGAGCTTGCCAGACATGGTGCGTTTATGCCCATCGGCATTTGCTTCGTGGAAAGAATAATCTATGGCAAAAGCTGAAGCGATACAGACAACATAAAATTGGCCGATCTATAATCAGGAGAGCCCGAATTGGGGCACTAATGAGTATTTGCCCCCTTGAAGGCTGACTCTCTTGCCGCTACCTAGCACCATTTGACAATATTTCACGGAGATCGTTGAGGGTTCATGCCGGCAAAATATACATTTTCATTTGTAAAGGTATGGCAAAGTCAAACCTTATCCTTGAACACTTTCGAAGCAAAGGCGCTGACCATCCTACAATTACAATTATCTTTGCGAAATCTGCCCTCAGCCCTCAATTCGCAATGAAAACTCCCAAAAAGAAAATTTTGTCGTTTCACAGACAAACTTGTTTACAAAAACATATATTTCATCTAAGCGCATAGACCCGATCGCTGCTTGTGAATGTTTAGTGTGGCTCCCCGCATCCGCTTCCCGTGCTGAGGACGAGAATGGACGAATTAAATTGTCGAATAGACTTACTCATAGCAGCTTAAAAGCTTTCCCCTTGGCATAACCCACCGATATTGTAGCATGCACGTTTCGCAATTGCTTTTCTGACACAGAGAGTCGGTGCTGAAGGGAAACATTAAATGTTCCTTTCTCAAAATAAAAACACTTCTTGCTTTGCACAGATGATCGCGCCATTTGCATCATATTGTGGTAAAAGCAATTGCTGTTTATCGTAACATTTGGTTTCGGTTTTACTGACACAGAAAATTGGCGTCGAGTATGAAGATACACTCTCCACTCTTTGTGTTTTGCACAATAAATCGCGCCAGTAACATCACACTGCTTCCTTGGTAAGAGCCATTGCGGTGTGATGCAGCATTTGGTTTCGGAGACCAAGGTACATGTCATGACACGATCCCCGTTCTAGGGTAACATGGCTGGACACCACGTCATGACTTTCTTCATCGGAAGATTATTCGTGAGATCCTTTTAAAAAACTATCCCATATCTTGCAATCAGCGCTCTGCGAGCATCCTTAATAATCGAAATATCCATGGCGGATGACGAGATCAGCTCGATGTCCGGCACTAGCCTGGAGAATTAGCGGCTCTATCTTCTCGCAATTCCCGCGCATATTCGATTCACTAGAAATAGTTTATCCAGCTCTATAAAAGTGTTTTATGAAGGTGGTGGGGGAAGCATACAGCCGTTCGGGCTACCCCAACCACTCCATTGCATCCTGACAGCAGTAAGCTATCTATTAAAGTCCGAGCCCACGTATCTAATCTTGACTTACAGCTGCCTTCCGGGTCCATCGGCTCTGGTACGGGAGCGTATGACACCCAGTCGCTTCGGCTCTCCAACGGATCCGGCACAGAAGACACTAGCCTACCATGGATACAGTCTGGGAACCACGACATATATACGTTCCTACGCAACTTAGTACTGATCTCCTCTGCCGGCCGCGATCTACAATCACTAATCTCTGTCTCATCATGATAAGACGGCTTATTGCTGCTTCTGCCTCCAAGACCTGCTCACAGTACCTAGCAATATCGCTACCATCAATTCAAGACGAAGCCTTGTCTTGCAGAAAAGCTACTGTAACGCTGTAAGAATGTGTTGCAGAGAGATAGAAAACACGGGATGCCCGCCAGGAGAGAAATGCTTAACACCTAAATCTATCAAATATTGGGCGATTCATTACTTAGGGTACATCTAATGCTCAACAGAGCTGTCGACATTTGTTCCAAAGTTTCCGTCGCAAGACACATCGGTATCGGCTCCGTATTTGGCATCTTGGATGCCTCTGCGTATTGTTTTCGACCATGACGTGTTATAAATAACCTAACATCGCCTCTGAATCTACCAGGACTTTCTAAAACCGGCATCTCAAAGTCCGCGACGAAATATCAGCAGCCAACAACTCGGTCTATGAGCCCCATCTTGCTTCGGAAAAAAATATCAAGGCTGAATGTCATTGGCCACGATCTCCACGCGGTATAATAGATCCAAGTTTTGCGCCAAAAGTCCACCATGCGCCTTGGACTCAACCTTTCGCCGCAAATACTTGCTAGAACGACTTTCTGTGGTAGTCCACCTCTCAGCCCAGAGCGAAGGGAACGCATGGTTAATATGTTTTGTATCACCGTAATTAAAAAATCTGCAGATACAGCGGTACTGTAAAGCACTTAACAGACATTGCTCTCCTCTACATCGTCAAGATCCATCGCTTTAAGCGCGCTTTTAAAGCTTCCAAATCCGACACTTGCAGAACGAATATTAAAACATATGCCCAACGCCATGCTCAATGCTCCTTCAAAAGAGGAAAGGTTGATGCGGCGGTTTCAGTCCGCGTCTCGCTCGATTGGAGACCCTTCATGAAGATGGCAACTATTATTGCCTCCGGAAGAGGGTCTGAAGCCATTGCAGCAATATGACATCTCAACGCCTGGTCCCGCCTCCTTGACAGGGATATAAAACCTTCAAACTCTCGATTCCCCCAATTTGGCGGTGCGAGAACCCGTGGCATATGTCGCTCCATAGCTTATCATATAGGGAACACATATTTTCCTGAAACACTGCACCTGAATTCTCACTTTGTGCGCAACTTTTAGGCTTGAAGGCCGCAAACGCGATGCTAAATTGCTCCGTTTGGGGTAAGGCTCGTGGTCATCCCACTTTCCTCATCCAGAGGAATACATTCTCTTCATACCAATTCTAAAGGCCTGGACGCTCAAACCTGCCACCATACTGTGAATGCCATCTGTCCTCCACCAGGCTGTCTCGAGGGCGTCTCACCAGCGCAGATGCATTGCCGATGAACGCCTTCAGGCGAGCCGTTACTAATTTGGCCTTAACCCGCCAATATAATAGCAGCTAATCTCTTTCGGAGTGAAATGATACATAAGCTTGTTAAGAGGGTGTGATTGCCACTCAAACAAATCACAACTGATAAAATTCTTTATGACTCGGTCGTTGGACTAAAAGTGCTTTTCAGTGCAATGGGGATGCTGTGCACTGTGCGCAGAGTAACATTCGACTCAAATGTCCACAACAACAGACGAGCAAAGATTGGGTTACTACGCTCCACCCAGGAGCGAACCGGGAGCCTCGAACGTATATATCTCAGCTGTGTTGTTTGATGAGGGACCTGACAGACTATTCTGAGAGCTATAAACTCTACTATCTTTGTCGTAAAAATGCCTTTACTCTCGACGTGCTTATAGTAGCCCACATGCATCACGGATCCTTTTTGTGGTACTTTTGATTGCACAAAAGTGCAAGTACAGCCCAAATCCACGAGTAATATATTGTAATAATTTATCATGTAGAGGCTCATTTTTTTCACGCCATTCGGGAGCTAATTCCTCACTACAAAAAGGGCACATTTTGAGCTTGTTTTATCGTTAGTATGGCGTCCATGGAAGAGTTTGACCGCGCACAGACTCAAGCCATGGAGTTATTACTACAACAGTGTATGAATTCTCAACATGATTCTTTCTCGGTCGATACCAGCTCACGCAATTATCCGGCTACCAATGCAACAATCCTTGACCTTTTGGCACAAAGTTGTGCAGACGCCAACGCTGCCGTGCAGGAACTCAGTGTAGAGGAAGTAGCTTCAGAGTTGGCTCGTGCTGTATCTGCCACGCAAAAGAGTCTTCGTAGTGTAGGTGAGAATGTAAGTTCAATCTTACAGGACCCAGAGCAAATGCGTGAGCTATGCTACCATGTAAAGCAGACGGATACTGAGGTGTTAGAGGCGCTACAGAAGTCCCAAACGCTACTGGAGGATAAAAATGATATTAAACGCTGTGATGATGAGATAGCTACGGACCAGGACGTAGGAACGGCACTCATGGTGTCTTCTAATGAAGAAAATGTACGCAACATGATGATGTTCGCTGAGAATGTATGCACGATGATGGACCACGCACTTAGCACGATTACCCAGGATGAGCTAGCACTAGCAGCCCAATTGTCGCTCAGTATTGCACAAAGATTATTGGATGCTGGACAAGCGCTTTTTACGTCTTTAGGAGATGAAGAACGCAAAAAGAGACACGGTGGAGATCGTAGTGACCATATCACAATCGAGGAAATTGAAGAAATACAAGATGGCGATAATCAGTCGAAAGAAGAAGCAAGTCAACGACATTACAGCGCTAAACATAGTAGACAGCTACAACGTACTGCAGTATTGCGGACATATCTCAACGACATGTATCACCGATCATGGAATGAAGCAACGAATCATCCATTTTTGGCAGGAGCACTCACTGCTGCTGGATTACCGTTTATCGGATTTGCGGTACGTGCTTTTGTTGATTAAGCCGAGATGTGGCTGTGTAATTTAATGGTAAACTCATGGTATGGTGTAGATTCCAGTGGCAAGCGTCATCGCTCTGGCGCTTTTGATAGAAAAGTATTACCCTGAGCACACAAGACTGACACTGGAGCTGTGCTACAACTTTTTACATGTACGATTGAGTTTGTGAGGAAAAGTTGTCAAAGCCTAATGTTGACTTTTGCTTATACGTAGATGTCCAAATTGTGGTTCCTTTTGTTAAAAATTGGTGGTCGCCAGGTCAGCGTCATAGCCAAAGAAAGTTTTAAGTCATGGTACAAGCACGCGTCGGAACATGGTTTCGTAGCGACGGGTTTTGAGCTAGCGTCGACAGGATGTAGCATTGGATATCTTGGCCTCTCATACTTGTACCAGATAATGCTTGGCTTTACAAAGGATGCTCTTGGGAACAACTCAGGATGATGATATGTTGATGCATATTTCAAAGTAATTCACCTTGTTAAGTCAATGATTAATTTATTTTCAGCTGTAAGGTATTTTTATAAATTGAGGTTGTCATGGGTACGAAGCAAAGTGTCTTGAAAAAGGAAATAGCCTCTCTCCGACTAGAACTGCGAGAAAGGTCAGCAAAGCACCAAGAAGAGCTTACGAAAGCTAAGAAGGAGGTGCGATTGCTACAAACCAAACTTCAGGAGCTTCAAGATATCGTAAGGTTTCATTTCAAAGCAAGAATAACAGAAACCTTACACATTTGTCGCACTTGTAGATAAGACAAGCTGATGATGAAACCGATAAGCTGAAGGTTGAAGCTCGTAATCAGGAAGAGCGTATGAAGGCTTTAATGTGGGAATTGGCCCGACAGCTGAGGCTGAATGGAACACCCATTTTAACTAGTCCACGCTCGTCGCAAGCTACTTCGCCCTCGACACGGATAGCGTTAAAGTGGAGACTAAACGACGACTTGATGTTACGACAATCTACCGTGTCACCGAAAAAGAATGCCGTATCTTTGAAAGAAGTTTCACTAGATAGCGCAGCAAGTAGCAATTGTCACGACTCTAAAGAAGCTACAAATGTGACATCCCCTCACCGATCTCCATTGATTCGGCTCGATTCTACCAGCTCGTTGACAAAAATCAGTCAATCAGATCTCGAGAATAATTGTAAGCTTTCATCTAAATCAAACTCCAACGAATTGAAGCGAGAAGATCAGGAATTAATACTTGAGCGGACACAAGATGCTGAGATATTTGCTTGGGAATACAAAAGCGAAAGCGATAGTGATACAAATTAAATTTGACGGGTCTACTGATCTATTTCAGATAACCACTTCAACTTGCTGTGGGCCACATTACATATACATGCTGTGAAAATCATTCATGTTTGACGTAAATGAGACATTTCATCAAAAGCAACCGACTGTTGAATCCCCAGTGTCCTGATGGAAGGACGTGAGCGTCTTGAGATTGACACTGAAGTGCCTTCAAATGTCTACGCATTGAATCTGCATAAACTTAGCGAACTGGCGCATATTCCTGAAGTGGAACTCGTGCGTGGAATGCAGTCCGACGATGCCGTTGACATGCAAGGCGTTGTGGTAAATCGCGGTCAAGAAGTACCATTTGAAGCTGTAGGCAAGACACCAGAAGATGATGAGGACGTATCTATTTTATACCATAATGGCAGTCAATCTCCCGAAAAGAATGCAAGCGAAGGCGTCAAGCAAGTGTTATTGACTGCGGCTTCTAGTACGATGTGTTTGGACGGCTCAGACACACCCAAATGTCTTTTGATGCTTGGAGAATATACACTTATCGAACATATATTAGCACAATTATTTGTCGCAGGAATGGAGCGAGTTGTGATTATCATTTCGTACTTTGGACATGAAATTATGGAGCATGTCAAAGATAGTTTTCTTTATTCAAAACTTGATATTGAATTTCTTAATCTTGGTGAAGAAACGCCGTATGGACATGCGCGAACGTTACTCTCAGCTAGGGAAATGTTTACAAAACCGTTTTTAATCCATACAGCAGACCATATTTTTGATCGAAGTATAATTAATCGTATGGCTCATTTTCAGCTAGATGGGTGTGTTGCTTGTGTACTGGTTGACACGGATACGAAAAAACTTAAAGGTTTGCCATCAACTGCGGGAAAAGTGTTGCTTGATACCACAAACGGGACAATTCGCAAGATTGGACGGAGACTAAAGCAAATGGATGCAATTGATGCAGGTTTGTTTTTAACGACAGGAAGAATTTTTGCTGCATTGGAGATGCTGGCATACGAACGGCCTAAATTTTCATTGGCAGAAGCGTTAAATGTACTTCGTCCGAGCTACGGACTGAAATATCTAGAGACAGCTGGCGATACGTGGCTCAGTATCGAGACGCAAGAACAATTGGATGCAATTGTAGCAAATAATAGTATCGAGCAACTCTCACCGTGGCCAGTGTTTGTTGCTAAAGAGCCGTCCGAGAAGACAGCTACGCAACTGTCGACGTCGAGCGGTAAAAATGTGTTTTTGGCTGTTTCGGCCGCGGATGATGACTCGATGCTGCGCGCCATCGATACACATGCTCGACAATCAGCTGATGTATTTGAAGGATACGTAGTTGGTGTTACGCAGCTCCAGGAAGTGGATGATTCGTCGACAAGAGCATCTATTCAGGCTCATGAATTAACACCATTACTAAATAGTACAGGAACCCACTCTCCAACGCGCCGTGACCGTCAGGATTCAAATACCTCCATATCAATTCGGCGTAAGCGAAGTTCGTTCTTAGAACAGGCCGAAGACTCATTTGTGTTGTCAATACCTTTCGCCCAGTCCACTAATGTCTCGGTCGATACAGTAATAGAGAGAAATGCGTACCTAATTGAGCTTCCAAGAACTACACCGAATGGAGGCGGCCCCGGTGCTATGCAGGAGACATCGCAGCAATTTGTGCTAGCTGTACCCGACAGTGACACGCTGTACAAGCGCCCTGGCTTGTTGCGTCGCTTATCATCGTTGCCAACAGATGTGAGGGATATTGCTGTGGAGACCGTTGAGTTTCGAAATGGAACCATGGAGTTGCAATTGCTTGTCAAGCGTCAAGTTCCACTTATTGGTTATGTTCTATTACTTGCTGCGTTGTTCACAATCTCTTCGATGGGTGCGGCATTGGATCTGCAACGAAATGTGGATCCATTCTTGAAGCTATTTTGGCGCACGACTGCGTCAATTATTGTTTTCATTCCGCTTGCTGGCGCTGCACTATATGATCAGGGACTCCCGCAGTTTTCGAGGCGAAATCTTATTAATTTTCTGATATGCTCGCTGTCGTACGCTGTCTATCTCATGACGTTCCTCTGGTCGCTATCGCACACGTCCATTGACCACGCGTATATTTTTAATAACTGTCATTCTCTGCTTATGGTCGTGGGTCGTCTGCTTCTCGGGCGGTATGTCTCGCAGTTTGAAGGGCTTGGTACTGTCATCGGTGTGATTGGTGGAGCGCTCACGACGCTAGATCATCAGCAAGCATCGTCAGATAGCATTCAAGTAGTGCAGATTTCACTAGCTGGAGATCTTGTTGCCCTGGTTGGCGCAGTTGGAGGCGCTTTGTACCTCATCACGGCCAAAAGGTTACGTACAGAAATGGATATTACCATCTTGTTCGTCGGCATGTTCTCATTGCTTGCACTGCTGATCTTTCCCATGTTTTCGCTTCTTAACATTCCATTCGAGGCGTCTCGAGATCCCGAAATTGGGCTTTTCGGCTGGTTGGACCCGTCCCGTGCGGTATCAGAAGCTTACATCGTTCTTGTTTGTACGCTTGTTGGTACATTGGGTTACGTTGCTGTGATGAAATACTTTGCTCCTATTGTCGTCTCGGTTGTAATGCTCGTTGAGCCTGTATTAGCTGCTTTCATGGGTGTGGCCGTTGGTGTTGGTGTATTCCCGGGTCTAATTACCATTATGGGCTCGCTTTTGGTTATCGCAGGTACTGCTCTGGTAGTCATTTCCAACTCATCAAGAACTCAGACGATCGATGCCACACAGGCTATGTCGTCCACATCAACTACCTTGCCTCAAGGTTTAAGCTCGGCCACTGCTGCTGGCATGAAGTTTCCAAAGTCGATCACACCCACGACAGCTCTCAGATACGTTTGAAAGAACGCATTATAAGTTACTTAGCACCAAGATGGAAAAGTATAAGTTTTATACACAATGATTCATACATTGTTTATATCATTATAAGTAGTAGTTGAAGTTGCGATAAGTGCGTACGTTGCGCCTTGATACTGTTGCAACATTTCAAACTAATTGATACCATGGACATCGTAGCGCTAAATGAGCGTTTACGCGACGACTTTTCGGTGTTGCTGAAGCTTCTTCCACCGCCGTTTGCTGTATCTGCTTTCTCGACTATTGAGTCATCTGTAGATTCTACACCTAAATCCTCACCTTCGGAGCTCTCAATCGACAATTATACGCAGCATTGCCGCCTCATGTTGTGGCGTCTTAATTCCTATCAATATGGATCTGCAAGCGCATTTTTGCTAGATTTGGAGCAATTGGAGCGCGCTGCCGATTCATTGAAAGCGAAAGAGGCAGTTCAACGACTTTTAGATCGTCTCACTGTCTCAGAGGGTGAAAATGAAGGCAAAGAGCGCGTTGTGAAAGTAGCTAATAAAGCTGGAACCTCAGTTATCTTAAGCTCGTGTGATGGTGTCCCAGGAATACAAAAAGTCATATCTACTGAGAGAGGTACAGAGAACGAGTCAATGTGGCGATGCAATCTATCAGTGAGAGAACAGATCGTGACTATTGGGACATTTAACAGCCAAAAAGAGGCGCTAGTGGGATATGAAAAGCAAAGAAAAGAGATGAGCATGAACACTACAAGCTTTAATAAACTGATGCATCGTGCAGCCAAGATGGAATCGGAACAACGCGAAGCGAATCATCGGGTGCTCAAAGAGGCTTTGGCTCAATGCCATCCAAGATTAACGACCATGAAAGCTTCCCCAGCACCTGTCACGAGCAACGTGACGCCGCGATTTACTGCACGGAGTGTTACAGAACCTCTTGCTGCAGCTGCACAGTCATCTCCAGTAAATGTTAAGTCAACAAAGTCTGCTGCGTCACCACCGCGAACTTCGCGAGTACTCAAACGACAAAACCTCGAGATTATAAGTGCTATTAAGACGAAAAAGCAGAAGGTGGAACTGCAAGCTATGAGCACATTATCCACGGGTAGCCGTTCGTTTTTGAGATTACGGAGATTGATACAAACGCGAATGTGCAAACATCTTAAAGGCCAGGATGTTTGCGTTCTCGCAAACCCAAATATTCTGCACCAAGCAAATTGGATAGCATCAGGACGTCTCGAAGCTGGCAAGGTCTTTTCACTTGACAAGAAAAAGCAAATGACATTTGCTGACTATGTTTATAGTGAATTGGGCTATGCAGTCTCAGCCTGCGCACACATGTTCCTTGTCCAAACTAAAGAAAGCATCGATGACCACCTCAAGGTGTGTGACGCGTTCTCGGATAAGGAGCGAGAGCTTGGTCCAACGGTAGATGTCAAGACGTCAGATCGACGACGATAAACAAGCTATGGAACACTCGAGCTGATTTTGTGTATGTCTTCTACAACATTTGTATTTGTCCACACCCGACTCTCTGCTTATGCAGTCTACGCTTTCGCTACGGTTTTGGTCGTATGCTCATTCATGAAAAGCGTTCGCCAGTTACAGGACAAAGCTGAAGATTGCTGTTAGTGCAGTTATAATGCACGACTTTGCCATTTGGGTAGACAGCAAAGACAATATCGCCAATGCGCTTGTGGCAAACGGGGCACAGCGTGTTGGGGTCAACCTGCACACTTTGAGTCAAAAGCTCAACGCGATCGCACTGAACTTGGAGATTATAGACGTTCGATAATGACTTGGTGATACTCATCTCGCGAACGTTGTGAGCACTGTGTGGCAAGGCCTGGGCAAAATATTCACCCAATTTAGATAGTGGTGTATTTGCTGGCACCAAATCTAGTACCATAGAGCTATCGAGGCTTTTGCCGTGACGTGTTAGGAGCTGAAATCCAAAATCGTTAAATGCTGACCTTTTTGACTCCTCACGAGGAGAGAAACAGATTTTGAGCAATTCCAGCAAAGCGTCGTTACGTTCCACAGCTCCAGCCTTTTTTGATGATCCTGATAATGCTTGAACAGAGGCACGTGCTCCATACTTAACGGAGTAGCTTTCAGCTCCCCGCAAATCATTTAATTCATACACTAGTGAAGTCACTGCTTCTTCATGGAGTGCACCACGGCCACAGAGTATCACAAACTCGTTGTACAATGGCTTGCCCTTAACCTTTTCGACAAGTGGCACTACGTCGTAGCGCGAAGAGCCCGATTTCAAGAATTTCAAGAGGCGCTTGCGTGCCTCCCCGAGCTGTCCAGGCTCTTTACCAGGTTGAGACTTTGACGGCACATCACCCTTCGCGACAAGTCTCAGTGTCTCGTCAAGATATTCCAGTGCCAGGCGAGTGTGGTGAGGGTCCACCACAATTGACGCCGCCGAGCCGTCCGGCCCACGCACTGTTTCATCGTCGTCATCATTGTCACCAGCCAGAAAGTTACTGTAGCTATCGTTCACGCCCAGCTCTGCTGCAGCAGGATCAGTAAAAGCATTGAAGCCTCTGCTACTGCCTTCACTGACGATTCCAGCATTGTTTGTCGAGATTGCTGCTGCACTTGTTTGCACCGCTCCCGCTTCACCATTTGCTTTGACGAGAGACTCTAGATACCGTTGCACAATCGCTGGGTCGTTTGAATGTTCCCGTAAATGCGCAACGACATCATTCGATGGCAATGGCGGCCGACGTTCGGTAAAGATACGCAAGGCCTGTTTCGCAGACGTTGCCTTGATAATCCAAATTGATTGCTTAAAGATGAAGGCACTTTCTGACTCGGGTACAGTTAAAAGTACGTCGATCGCAGCTTCGATTGGTGATTTTGGCATGCCGCTTGAACCCCCACGTTGTTTGTACTCGCCGTGGTGAAGAAGTGCAAAAACTTCTAGGGCTTCATCGTAGCTCTGGTGAGCACAAAGCAACTGACCTGCTTCGTAGTACAGCTTCTGTTTAATAAGGAGTGATCGGCACGATTCTAACTCGAGTGCGCACCCTCCAAGAGATCCTGGTGGGCCTTCGACGTCTGGGTTTGTCTCCTGAATTAAGGCTAGCAGCTCCTTATACCGTTTGTACTGAATGTAAAGACGAAAGAGCGCTGTATCAATCGCTTCAATACGACGTGCATCCTTTGGATTGGAGGTGGAACGACCGCGAGCTGAAGTTACGGCGCGCACATGGGCACGTGCTTTGTCTCGCATGTGTTTTTTGTACTGATTCAAGAACTTGAGAAGTGACTTTTGTGCAGCATTGACAAGGTCAGCAGCGTTACTCTTGGCAATGTCGGTACTCAACGGAGCGCGCGGAGACGACAGTAACTCTTGAACAACTGAAGTGATGTCTGGAGTGGAGCTGCTTCCACGTGGAAGCACTTCGGGCTTCAGCACTGAAGGTTCGTATGCGAATGAAGAGCACTGGAGATCGGGAAAAAACGCAATAAACTCGCACGGTTCAATTGCAGCACGATACATGTAATCGGCAGCTTGGTCAAACTCGAGTCGCCGCAGCAGCGCCACAGTTGCTTGACGTTGAAAGCGTTTAATCTTGCTGCGTTGTTTGTCACTAGATAATGATGCAATGGACTTTCGCACAAGCAACTGAGCTTCATCAATCTGCCCACGATCCAAAAGTTCGCCAACCTGTTGCTCTAACGGCATTGGTTCAATCTTCATGACACTAGACACTCCACTTGACTCTCTGACACCAACTATAACGACATCCTCACTATCACCACTCTGTCGAGGCTCCATATCCCACTTCATACCGTTGCCAAACATACACACAGCTCGAGTAAGTGGCAATGTCTGAACAAGGGCACCATCACTGGCACGATGTATTTCAACGCCCACTCTTGGTATTAACGCCAACAAATATGGTGACGAATATTCCACGTGCTGTGGACTTTGAGACCATGTAACCGAGTTCTTAGGAAGTGTATCCCCTGTAAAGCCAACAAAAACGCCAACACGATCCATCACAGCGACAAGAATCTCTTCTTTCGGTAACAACTTAACCACTGGAAATACTGTGGGATCTTGAATGCCAGGAGAGTTAATCTGCGTAGCATCACCTGATTTGTCGTTAAGTAGAAAGTATTTCTTTCTATAACCTACGACAACTTTGTTCCTGTACCAGCTCATAGCTTCTGGAACGTCTTGCGTACTAAATTCTCGTAAAAATGCATAGCTTTTGTCACTACTATGAAACTGATAAATTGCGATAGCTTTTTTCTTCAGACTTGCCACACCAAGACGAAAATGCGGAGGACCACGTTGATTCACGCACACAAGTCGCACTTTGTACGTATTAACTTTAGAGAAATCAAAATCTAGTGGCTTGAGATCCGTAGCACCATGAGCTGATACTTCTCCATTAGAAACTACAATCAGCATACGGATATGAGGTACTGCCAGCAGCTGCTCTACTCGTTGACCATGTGGAAACGTATACGTAGCTGTAGATGTGGATGTCCCTTTACGTGTGTCATACATAACAAGGCGACCATCCTTAGAGCCTACAACGACACGTGATGAATAGTGCGTCACACATTCAATCTTTCCCTCAAAGCCCGTAACCACAGCCGTAGACCGGAACGCTACACGCTGCTCTCCCGACGATGACATTGGGGATCTGATTCTTAGGGGCGAAATGTGGTGCACACGAATGATCAAAGAACTGGTGTACTACACCTAAATTGAAGCCATGAAGCACATCGAATTCTAATGATGGCAGATTATAATGCGACGAATCAACTCAAGAGGTTTTCATCATAATTCGTTTCTCAATGAAGGTACTCGTGTGGTTTCGTCGTGACTTGCGTCTTCATGACAATTTGGCGCTTCATGCAGCACTACAGCATATTGAAAAGCATAAGAATAAGGACGATGTTGAGTTTATTCCACTCTACATTACACATCGTCCGCAGATCATGCGTTGTGGTGCACATCGATTTCAATTTGTGTTGGAAAGTGTGGAAGATTTGTCACGAGCGTTAGAAGAACGTGGTTCAAAACTTGTTGTAGCAAAAGGTGATGGATTGCAAGTGCTTCAACGTCTTTTACCGGCGTGGAGTATCACACACTTGTTTTTTGATAGAGTTTGTGAACCTTATGCAGTCGAACGAGACAATCGAGCGTTGGAATTAGCCAAGAGTTTGGGTATTAAGACACATGTGACAAATGGATACAATTTATATGATCTCGATCAAGTGATTTCGAGTCAATCAAACAAAGCTCCGAAAACATATCGAGCATTTTTGAAAGCTGTAGGAGAGCAGTCTTTGCCTTCTGAACCTCTTCCAACACCGGAAAAATTGCCTTCTCCCATGAGAAAACATCATGAATTGTATCAACAGGTGGTTGAGTACTGGAACAATTGTGAAATGTCTGATGATAGGGAGAAAGAAGATGATCCGAAGGAGAAAAAGAAGCAAATTGAACAGATTGCTGGGCCAAAGCATGACTTTACCGTACCAGATTTGGCATTCTTTGATTATGAAACCCCAGAGAAACATTCATTTATTTACGGTGGTGAACAAAAAGCGCTGAAGACACTTGACAATTATTGTAAGGACGAAGATCGCGTAGCTCGCTTTGAAAAACCCAAGACATCACCTGCGCAACCACCACCTACGCCGTCGACTACAGTTTTAAGTCCTTATATGTTTTATGGATGCCTTAGTCCACGGACTTTTTATCATCGAGTGCAAGATATCCAGAAACGTCGTAAAAAAGGATCACAACCACCTGTGAGCTTAATCGGCCAACTCCTTTGGCGTGATTTCTATCATTGTCATGGCCATGATAATCCGTATTTTGATAAGATGGAGGAAAGCCCAACGTGTTTGCAAGTTAACTGGCGATACCACACGATTCCAGAAAATGAAGAAGAAATGAGTGACGATGAAAAGCTTGCTCGCTCACAATTTGAAGCGTGGAGAGATGGACGGACTGGATTTCCGTGGATCGATGCTATTATGATTCAGCTTAAGGAAGAAGGTTGGATGCATCATTTAGCCCGTCACGCAGTTGCGTGTTTCTTGACGCGAGGAGATCTTTATATCTCGTGGGTACGCGGACTCGAGGTTTTTCAAGAACGACTGATTGATCACGATTGGAGTGTGAATGCTGGAAATTGGCTTTGGCTTAGCAGCAGCTACTTCTTTACATCCTACTTTCGCGTCTACTCTCCAATTTCTTTTGGTAAAAAGTCAGACCCTGAAGGTCTCTTTATCAAAAAGTACATTCCAGCTTTGAAAAAATTTCCCGCCAAGTATATTTATGAGCCCTGGAAAGCTCCTAAAAGTATTCAGCAGGATGCTGGGTGCGTTATTGGAAAAGATTATCCAACTCCAATTGTAGAACATAAAAGCGCGATGCAACGATGCAAAGAAGGCATGAAGATGTCGTATGCTAATAAGGAGTATGGTACTCCACCTTCTAACAAGTCGAATCGTCGCTCAAAGAAGCGTCAACGAGAGGATTCGGATGAAGAGTGAAGAAAACGATGCTTATCAACAAATAGACTACAGTACGAGCTATCAAACTAATCTATTGATAATTAAACAAAAGCACTTGAAATGAAAACTTCAGTCTCATTCTATCATTTCGTGATCTATGACTATGGACCATCAATATGTTTGTCTAGTAATCTGTATTAAGCGTAAGTGCAACACCCTGCAGAACCCAATGAGACGCATGTTCAGTCGTATACAAATCAGCTTCAAACACAAGTCCAACACCCATCGCATTTCGTCGTGCTTGAGTAACATACACAGGTGTGCGAAAAGTATTTTGCAATTTCAGTCGACTAGCTTCAATCGGAATAATCTGTAAAATTGGTAATTCTTCCACTAATTGTTTTGGCTTTTGTGGAGCTAAGCACCCTCGTTGAAGGTCCCAAGATGCGCCTTCAAGAAACAATCCTTTCACATAACATCCAGCATCTCCATTCCGATCGTCGAGTAAAACATGTGAATCGTACGTATAATTTGTCACACGTGTATACAATGTAGATTTATCCAATGGCCAATTCTTCGCTCGACATGTAGCTTGTACTAATGCAGTAAGATATGATTCAGGAATGCTAAATCCTGAAAGCCATAGAACTCGTGGTTCACCATTTGCTATCCAATTCATATATTGAGTATATCGTTTTGTAAAATGTTCCATCCAACTTCCAAGTGGTTTTTCTGTATTTGGACATAATGATCGCCAAAGATTTGGAAGAAACCCATCGTATAGTGCAGTACCCACTGCATCTAAGTCTTCACTCATCCCAATTTCACCTACTAATGCTTTTTGAAGATCTTTTAATGACATTTGAATTCGACTTGTCAAAAGATTCCAACGATCAAGTTCTTGTAATAGAACAATTTGAGTTGGGGTGGGTGTCATTTTAAAGGTTTTTCGAATCAGATGAACATCAACTGGTTCTGGCACTTTTGATAAAATATCTTTCGTGACATTCGTGATATATTCTTCCCGCGAGATACCGGTACCTGATTTTGTCGATCGTGGTTGAAGTGAAATTAAATCTTTCCATACACTTTTCGACATATTCGTATAATACCCAATTTCTGCATTTGGGTGCAATCCAAAGACTGCAGGACTATTCGTTAGTGGTAAATCCTCGACACTCGTAATATAAGCCTCTAAATTTAAGGATTGAGATGAAATACCCGTAATTTTACCAGGAAGAACATAATCATAACCCGAGCGACTGAAATAGAAACGATGACATGTATCAAATAAGAAATCACCCATATACTCGGCTAAGTACGTCGTTAAAATTCGACGATCATAAGCATCACTTACTCGACCACCATACATTGCATCACCAATTAAATATTTCAATGCTCCCCATGGAATCATTTCATCTTGATCTTGATATGCTTTTGTAAGATATAAACTCAGTAATTTTCGTGATATAGTAAAATCCGATTCATTAAAATCATAATTTACATTCCATCCAATCTTTCCATATTTTCGACGTTCAAGAACTACAGCATGTAAAAAACAAAGAACATAAACCATCGAACGAAAAATATCATGTGGACATTCATCGAAGATTGTCGCATCAACTTTAGAATATAAACGACGCATGTTTTGTTTTAATCCATCGGGTGGTTCAGTCACGACTTTTAAAGATCGTTGTAAAATTCCAAGTGGAAAGCGATCGGTTGGTTCGGTTGTAAGCCACAAACGAAAGTCTTTCTGAGGTTTTGTTAATAAAAGAAGCATCTTTTCTAATGTTTTTAACCAACTTGTTAACAAATGACAATTCTGTAGTAAAACCCAATGACCTCGTAATGCACCAGTTTGAACCATTTGTTCTGCTAATGGTCCTTGTCCTTGACCAAGAGCTAAGAATTTGAAACGAGAAGATGAAAAACCATAAGTATCGCCTAATGTTTGGATATCACTTTGTGGATCGGCTCCAGGACTTAAGATACAAACAATTGGAGATGTCGAAACACTTTGATTATAGATTCGATTATAGTCTAACACAGGAGGTTGAACATACTTTTCACCCATTGCATCCATAACAAATAATTTCATAGCATTATACACACGATCTTGTCGAAAACAACGAAAAAGTAATAATTTTGAAAGACCAGAAAGATGAGTTGAAAACGAACTTGGAAGGTCTGCACCTTCTGGAGCTTCAAGATCGTACCAAGCTTTCCATTCAATTGTTCTTGTTCTCAAATCAGCTAGTAATGATGTAAAAACACCTCCTTCATGTAAAGTACTTAAGCAAAGCAAGTCTTTCCATCCAGCATTTGAAATCCACGTTAGATTCTCGGGTTTTGGTTCACTCACAGCTTCAAGTGATGTATTTCCTTTTAAGAAAAAATCAAGTTCGAGACGATCGAGTTCATTCGATGCATTCATGATCATACACGTCATCTGGAATGAAAACATGAGTTTATGTCGCTCAAAAATTCCTGTACACGTATAGTCGTACAATAAGGCCGTAATTGATTGGACCATCAATTTCAAGCGTTTCTCAAGTACGACATCTCGTTTTGCAGTCTCAAGTGCAGTATGAAACACTGTTAAAAACGATGCGAGTGAAATCTCATACATTTTCATAATCGTCGCGAGTGCAGCCATGGCAAAGTACAAGATAGATCCACGCAATGCAACAGGTGAATACACTTCACGAGCTTTCGAAATTTCAGTCTTTGTAAAACTCGCAAGCTCTAATTTTCCACTAATTTCAAACGCTTGAGTCTTCGTTTCATCTAACGTTCCAATCAATTCTTCGTTATCTAAAATATTACCAGAACTACTTGATAATTCACGAAGTAGTGTATTTTCAAGCTCGACAATCAATTGTGTACTTTCCGACATTTCTGAAACCAAGTCACGAAATTGTGCTTCTAAATCCGGTCGTTCATGTGCTACAACGACGTTTAATAATTGATTCGCAAGTCCATCTTGTGTTACACTGTAATTGACAATCATTGTCTTCCCCATGATCTCGGGAGAGTAATGGGGATTCGCAAGTTTTGAAGTCAAATAAAGTCGAAAATTCGAATCCCATTCTACATTTTTATCGCCTAGTTGGATAAATCGTTGGGATCCTTCCATAAACGTTCGTTTTTCCAACACAGGATCAAGAATTGGATCTACTTCTTCATCAACACTTTCAAAGAGAAATGGATTTCCAAATTGAATGGCCAATTCAAGATGTTTCATAAAATCCGGATCACTAAATGTCTTGACTGTCAAACTGTTCTTTTCTTCCTTTTTTTTAATCCAATTCACAGCTTGTTGCTGAGGATCAATACAAAGTGGAAAGCGACTCGACTTTGTTGTTAAAATACCATTTTGAACCGAGTGTTCATCCGCTGGTAACCCTTCTGAGACCCATTTTTGAATCACTGTCTCATCCGTTAACGACTTTTCCAGTCGAAAAGGAGACGTGACTGGTAAATGACGAGACTCTAGATCTTGAAAGAAATCACGATAGATGAGATTTGTTCGATACTCAAAGCTCAACGCTCCTGCATAGCTTAAGAAACTAGCAGTGAGTAAACAATCACCTACAAGACGTTCACTTTGACTATGTAATGACTCAACATCTTTTGTCCAGCGTGTACGTTCCGAGCCAAGACCAGAGAGCAATTTACTTGCAGCTTGAAGTCGTTTTTGCATCTGATCAGCTTGAATTTTTAATCCTTGCAATTCAGAATTTGCTTCTTGAAATTGAACTGACAAACTCTCAAGCTCGGACTTTAATCGATCAAGCGTAGCTTTCAAATCAGTCAATTCTTGTTCTTTTAACATTTGTTCCTTTTCCATAGTCTTAACTTTTTGACGTAAAGGTTCAACATTCTTTGCCACATCATGATATTTGACAATTGCTACCACCCACACAAGTAATCCTGCTCCAGCTCGAGAAATGGATTTCATGGTATCAATATTTAATTCTGGATTCTTGAAAAATGTCTTGATCTTGCTGATCATTTTGGCTGAAATTTTATCCTTTTCATACTCTTTCAATAAAGTGATGAGATTTGCATTGCTTAACATCACTTTTGCCCCTTTCCAGTCGAGATCAAGTTCTTGACCTGTAGGTTTCAATATCAACACACACATACATACTGACATGACTAAAGGTGGAGGCGATGCAAAGGATTTTAACTCGGTCAAATCTGCTTTTGAAAGATCTTGCAAAGCAGCAGCAGCTGCTTCGACTGCTGGAAGAGCCTCCAACAACGCAGCATCTGCTTCTTTCTTTTCTCGTGCGATCAAAATGGATGCTTTCTCACACTCCATCTGAGTCATTGATGCAACTTCCTGTTGTTTTGATGCTACCGTCGACTTTTCTTCAATCGTCTTGATTAAAGCTTCACATGCCAAAGCTTTTTCATCCACAATGATCTTTTTCTTTGATAATTCAACTTGCATCAAATCTACCGCTTGGGCTGCCTCAACAAGTTTTAAAAGACCTCCTTTTAAACGACCAATACTTGCTGTGACTTTCACTTTATTCTCTTTCAATTGAAGACGATAATTTGAAAGAAAATCAAGATAATTCTTTGGTGTGACGTAATAATGCCGACGCAATTCATCGCCAAATTGCTGCGCGACACGTACAACACGTAAATGAGCATAGACGAGATGATTCGTCACATCTTCGCGTGATTCTTCCGGTAGATTCTCTTGAGATAAAAAGTATTGTGCAACATTACGTAGTGCATCTTCAGGCCATGCGAAGAACCAATCAATAATTGTAGCCGAGACAAGACCAGGAAAGTTACGACATCGTAATCGAAGCGCATTACCTGAAGGAGACATGGCAAGAATTATGTGAAGGTTCTGTCGACACAAGTCGACGTAGAACCGCCAGCATGTATCGCTCGATTCGATCAATCCTGCTGCTTTGACTTGATCTCGCACCGAATTCGCAAGAGATTCTCGTTCCTCCGATTCAAAAAGAGCTGGTACTACACCTGTTGTAAGCATATTGTTGATATATTCAAAAAATCCTTCTTCTACTGCATGAGCATCAGTAAAAAGAAACACCATCGGTTGTTTGCCTAATTTTCGATATAAATCTTTCAAATTCTCTCGAAATTCCGCTTCACCATATCCACGTGTCAGAAAGATTTCAAAGAGATCGTATCCTGCTGTAAACGCTGCAAGTCGCGATAAACTTTGCTTGCCACTTCCTCCAATCCCAATTAATAAAGCATGACCCAATGGATTTCGAATAATGCGTAGAATTCGTGATAAATGTTCTAATGCCATTTCAAACAGAACTAATGTCATGGGTTTATGATCGACATTGTACGTTTCGAGAACTTCATCAAAGATACTACGAATTTGTCGATACGATCCCATATCTTGATACAATCGTGCGTCTTCGCATGTCGCTTCATTTGTAATCCGTCCAATACAATCAGCATAATCACCAAACAGTAGTGGATTTTCTAAAGCCGTGTCTGCTTCTTGTGGAAATGTCTGACGTACAATCTGCATGAATGCTCCATCGACAATTGCAGTATCCGATTCTGTCGTAAGTCGATCAGTAAATATTCGTTTAATCTCATTGCGCCATAGACGTACAATCGATGCACTGGAAGTGAAAAGATCGGGTGTTGCCATGCACAATCCTTCACAAACACATCCAAGATCGCGTAAATTGAAAATGTAATGAAATTTAGACGGTGTGGGAGGTAACTTTTCCACAATAAACTCGAAAAAGGCTAACAATCCATCAATTAATCCGATGCCAATGCTTTGGATGTCGTTGCTAAAATTTCGAAAGTATGTTGTCACGATTGAGCCATAAATGTGGCGAAGCACTTGTTTGGTTGGTGACGTGAGGTTGTAAACATTAAATTGTGCTACAAAACGTGGATCGACTTGATTTCGACCACCACCAGGAGGTCCCATAGCACTAAGAAAGAGCAAATCTCTTAACGTGAGCAAATCCAAATCTTTGCCACGGTCGTATATACTTCCACGATTTAGAAGAAAATGCAAGAGAGCAATGGGTTGCTGTGTGCCGTAAAGATCGACTTTCGGCATGTTTAAGTCATCGATGAAAATCAAAAGTTTCTTTCCAGCGGGTGGACCGTAAACTTTGCCCGATCGTTTGTCAACGTTTGCTTGAATTGTTGTCTGAACATCTAAACTACTCGTTCGACTTGAGAAATTTAGTGCTAAAGTTGAAAAACTTTGTGAATCTAAATGATTCAAATAATTTTGAATCGTCACCGTTTTGGCTGAACCACTTTCACCCACAAAAAGCACTGGTTTTTCTGTTGTCATGCAATTTGTTAGAAGAAAAGTGTAAAGCATTGAATCACTTGTTGGAACAAATACATGGGAAAAAAGAAAAGGCGAAGGTGCAGTGTACGATACGACACGAGATTCCCATGCAAACCATTTTCGAGCTTCGAGATCAAAGAAATTGTCGTACAAACTGGTGGATGGTAATGGAAAGTCAGATATCGTACGAATGAAAGTGTCTAAACGATCTCGACTTGAAGCGAGCAATGCGGCTCCTAAAGACCAGACTAAACTAAAAACGAAAAGCCCTTCAACACTTGTACGATCGAGAACTGCGTCTCCTTGTGGTAAAAGTCCATCTAATGATACGCAAAGTTGTTTACACATATCCAAGTTCGAAATTGAAATGACTTGATGGCATTTTGCAACCGTTTGATCCAATCCAACGACACCTTCCAAGATGAAATTGATGCATTGAGGTACATACTTATCAAATAACTCAAGCAATTGAGTCCGTTTATCCGGCATCCGACCCGGTAGTTCTCCTGTCGATCCGGTATGATTTCGTGGATTTGTTTTCTTTAACCAACGTTCGAAATATGGTCGATAGCCTAAATTTTTAGGATCAACCCAGACCATTCCACACCGACTTATAGTTGCAGGAGATGCATATTGAAGATCACTTGTTTCACATATCATTAAACAATGACTTTGTAATCGAATACGTTCACCATTTGGTAATGTTAAGAGTTTATTATCATCCATCACGCTATTCATATTCTCAACCCATACAGCATCAACATCTCCATCAAAGAGAAGCCACCGTTTTTCCTTTTCTTTGCCATTTAAAAGAGGCTGATTTAACTCTCGAAATAATCGACTTAAAACTCCATCTGTCCAATCCCTTGTGACGGAGTCCATTGTGCCATACAATTCAGCAATCGACTGAGCTTTAGGATTCAAGACAAAAATTCGCACACTTTCATCTAAAGCTGATTTTGACGCAGCTGCAAGTGTATTGACTACCAACGTCTTGCCACCTCCTGTAGGTCCGACGATCATTGTCGTATGTCGAACGAGCATTGTTTCATATAGTTGTAGGATCTTATCAATTTGTTCATGATACACTTTAAAGTCGCTTGTATCATATTCGCCACGTTTGAGTTCAGTATCAATTGCATTTCGTAATACAACATAACCAACTCGAGGACAATCTAAACCAGGGAATAAATCATTGATTAATCCATGAAACAGAGGGACATCTTCAAATACAAACTTTGGCATATTACTATCTCGTAAAGCTCGCATGAGTACAACATCTTCATTCATTTCACTATATTCGCGTTTTAAAGCTCCTGCCATCACTAAAACACTTTTCAAAGCACGTAATCCAAAGTCATAATGATATTGTTTTGATAATTGCTCTTTCGAGAGTTGATACAACACTGTCATTTTCTTTGCAAGTCCAACGGCATGTTCAAATCCTTCGGAAAACAACATAATTTGACAAATTTGTAATAGATCGGGAATGATCATTGTCACTGGACGAAAGAGAGCTTTGAGATTATCTGGTAACTCGGTTCGTCCTGCATATCCTGGATTCATGGTAATGAAAAATCCACACGTGGCAAAACCAGCAGTACGATGGATTGCAATCTCTGATCCAAAACCAATGTCAACACTTTTTTTCTCGTCATGAAGTGCATTTTGAATCGCACGAAGTTGTGCTGACACAACCGATAAAACTTCGATATTGATCCGATTAAATTCATCAAAACAACCCCATGCACCTACTTGTACTAATCCAGAAAAGATACTTCCCATAGCTTTATAATCGAGTCCTTCGCCACAATTTATTACATAACATGGTAATGCAAGCGATTTTGCCAGATCTTTGACAGTCTCCGTCTTGCCTGTTCCAGCTGGACCTGCTGGAGATCCACCGAGTTTAAACGTCAGTGCTTGAGTGAGTGTCATATAGCAACGATCTGTCAATGGCGTGATCACAAGACGACCGTTTAAACCCATAAACTCGTATCCATATCGAAATGAACCAGTACATTGACCTATAACAACATCGTCAACATCTTTTCGCCAATAAAAGCGTAATTGTGATTCCCATGCAAACTCTTTTTCATGTAGAATACTATCACGCACAAATGAATCGACAATATCTCTAGCATGTACGTCAATGATCAATAATGTATTGACTTTCTTTCGTGTGCAGGCATCCAAAGGCTCTCGTACTCGTCTTACAAGCGTATTGAGTTGATCAGATAATTGCTTCTCTAATCCTTTCATAGCATATTTATCACCTTTTTCAACACGATGAAACACATCTTCCACTTGCCATGTCCACCAGATTTGACTACCGACTAGTGATACCATTCCTAACACGGTCTCAAGCCATTGAATTCGATCAATACTCGCGTATTGAAAGACTCCCTCCTTTGCAATTTGTCGAAGCGAAGTACGCATTTCACTCTCTACACTAGTCATCCACGATTCCACAGGTCCTTCAACTGAAGATAATGTCCGAAAGTCAAATCTTTCACCTTCTGCACTTTCCATTGCATTTACACTCTTCCCATTGCGAATAAAAGTTAAGAGTTTGACATTATCAAAAAGCTTAAGCATATGCACTTGAATTGACGTAGGATCGGACGATCCTAAGACACTAAGAAGTTCATCGTCGGATATGAAGAAAAAGCGTGGAAATGCATTTCGTTTCGTATCAAGATAATCGCTTAATGATTTTTGACATTTATCTAATCGATCCGAAAGCGATTGAAGCGTTTCTACACGATTCTCAGCTGTACAAGCTTCCACAGCATTTGCATTCTTGTATGTCGCCGCCATGATAGTTTTCCATGCATTGTCAATAACATCAAATTTACGCGCTTCATCAGGTAATTGCTGTCGAATATCGTCGGCACCAACAAAGATACTTTCAAGATACATCCATTTCCGTTGAACGATAAACCAAATGTCAAGACATTCGTTCATAACACCAAGACGCTTTTCCCACTTGCGAATTTGCTCTGCAAAATTGGTAATGAATCGTGAGCTCGCCATGGTTTGAAGATTCAACATGTGATCTTCTAACATAAGTTTTAAATCATCTGCAGCTCGTAAGATCCATCCACGATCGGTACCATTTTTCTTGTATTTTACTAACTCAAGTATAGCTTTAGACCACACATCTTGTATTTTATTCATCTCTTGCTCAATCTTTTGCTCTTGCATGGCCGAATTGACGATTTCAGCAATTTCATTTGAAAATCGATGCAATTCCATCGCAAAGAGTTGTTTTAGTGTAAAAGTCTTGAGATTCATCTCAAATCGCACTTGAGTGACGACCATCAGCTCTTCCCAATGGCGTGGTTTGACAGCATCGTTTTTAAGACTCTGGATAAGCGGGAGACTTTCTCGAAACGATATTATCTGCTTTTCCACTGCCATAAATGTCGACAAGGTTTTCAAGTCTTTACGAATCATTCGACAGCGTTTTTCCAGTTCTTCAAGCCCTTTATTCATCGCAGCGACATCTAAATCAGCCCACAACATGCTGGACATCGTTGCGATAAAATCCTTTTCTTCTGTGTATAGATTGAAAATAATCTCGTGCTTTTCAAGAGCTTCTGCTAATTCTTGAAGCTCTGGATACGAAGTAATGGGTAGAGAAAAGAGATTCTCGGCGTTTGCAAGCTCCTGACGTCGTGTCTTAAATCCAATGAGTAACGTTTTATAACTGGATAAACGCTCGAGTCCAACGTCAAGATCAAGTGCACACGTACCTGGTCCATGTTCAATAAATTCTTGTTTGATCTTTTGACATTCTTGTGAAAACTGAAGTGCATCCTGTTTCGTCACGCCTCGAAATTGATCTTTCACTTTCACGAGTCGTAAATCTTTTGTTCTTGAAGCGAAATACAGAGTTTTCCAGCGTGTTTCGAGGGCAAACGCTCGCTGCAACTCGGCTGGATCACATGTGATATGATAGGATTGTAGCGTCCGATAGCGTTCGATAATATCTGTGTATTCAAGCTCCATTTCCATGCCCATGTCGCTGATTTTTGCAACAGTATTTAACACTTTTTTCAGCGATTCGAGATCTTCAGGTATGACATCAAGTTCGATGTCGAGCATGTCCATAGTTGAAATTATCTCTACAAGCTTTTTATTCGAGATCTCCAGTAACACTCTTCCATAATCATCTTTCCACATTTCAGCTTGTTTCGCGATAGAAACTGCAAGTGGAAGACAATCGATCTGTAAGAAATCCGTATCTTTCTCAGTTGGTTGGTTTCGTACAGACTCAGCAAGACGAGAATATTGTGCCATTCGTGTATCAAAGTACACACAAGGAGGTTTCTTGTCCATTAATTTATCAAGAGCACTTCGACGTTTTGTATTCCAGAGATTATAAACTGTATCGTATCGTCGCCAACTATCAAGATATCGATTGACAATATTAAAGACCTTGTGAATCTCTTGATTCAAAGACAAAGTCATTTTGATCACATATGGATTTTGAGAAATATCCGAATAGAATGTAAACATAATTGGCTCTTCATCTTCATTCACAACAAGAGGTGCCGTCTCACGACAAGTTCCATGCATCCAGCGGATAAATGCTTTTGCACTCTCAACAATATGTTTCACACATTTACTCAGATACTTGTACATGTCGGAAAGTGACGGAGTTACGATAATCTCTTTCCCATGCATCGTTGCTTTCACTTTACACAAAGGTGGACGCTTAAACTTTGCTTCTCCCATAACAAGAGATGCATTATTCATATCTTTTGTATGAATATTCAACAAAGCTTGGAGTGTCGTCATAGATGCAATAATCATCTTAGTAATCGCATTGAACACCCGTCGTTCCCAATACATATAGTACGTTGACATAGCTGGACTTGTACCAGTATTCACGCCAGCAACAATCTCTTCCACTTTTATCAACAATGGACCAATTGATCGGTAACTTTGTACAAGATCATCAAGTCGTTGCATCCGATTTCGTTCAACAAGTTCGTAAAATTCACTAACTTCCGTAACAATTCCTGGACGAAAATCTTCAATTCGGATCAACAATGTCTGATCAATATTCACGACAATTTCTTCGACCATTTTACTACTTTTATGAATCTGACTCACGAGATTCGCGAATTGATTCAATGCTTTGTTGCTATTTTCAATAAAACTCATGACACGCTGCGAGTTCCAATTTAATGGAGAGAAACCAACACGAAGTGCATCATCTAGTGTCTTTAATTGAGCTCGCAATAAATGCGTTTCAACTGGTGTTAGGTCTCTTAAAAGTGAGTCGTACCGTTCAAGCATCAGTGTAAGATCTTGAACGTATTGAAGATATTTATTTTCTTGCAATGTCACATTCAGAGCCTCTTCTGGAATCTCAAAGCCAAGTCGGTCAAGATATTTCGACTCTTTGATAATCATTTTAAGCTCAAACGAAAAGTTGGCATAAAATGGTGGAGATGGAAGTTTCAAAAGGGTCCCCCCTGTTTCGGATTTTCCGGCTTCCAAGAGCTTTGGACCAAGAATCGATTGTTTCAGACATTCATTAATGGTTGCAGGCACTTTTTCTTTCCATTCTCGATGAAGCTGTTGAATATATGCGTCAACTGCACGTGCAAACACGAGATACTTCTCCTTGACTTGTTCCCCGTACGAACTTTTTAACAAATCATTCATGGTTCGAAAACGTAGAATTGGCTTTTTCGCACGCAAATAAAGTGCGCGTGACCAGCTAATTGCACCTGCGACTGGAGGATGGTCTTTATACACGGGTGGAGACTCTTTGTATCGATGGAATTGATCTCCAAGCATTTCAACTTCCTTTGAATATTGTGTAAGGATATCTGTATATTTCTCCATCATTTGTTTGTTTATTGACTCACGGGACTGAATGTTTTGAAAATTTTGTAATAAATCAAACGCTCCTTCAGCAGATCGAAGTTTTCGAAACGAAGAGTCGATAAATTGTTGTGTCATGTGCTCAATCTCCGTTACTTGATCTTGAAATTGAGTCATGACCAAATCCCAACTTGTCTTGTACCCACGATCAAAGATTTTGTACAGCACGTTTTCAAAAGGTAGAATGAGATTTTCAACTCGTATCATTACGTCATCAATTCCTTGTGAATCACCTGTCACGGCTTTTAATTCTGGACCTAGAAACTGATGAAATTGATGCAGTACAGTTGCGACTTCTTGTAGATTCTCACAGATTTTGGCCATATAATCTGTTTGTTCAAATAGACGCTTGCGATCAAATTCCCATCGATGGTCCGTTCCACTAGCTTCAATGCGTTCCCGTACATTTTGATATGTTCTATGCCACGATTCAAGCACAATTTTGGCTTCTTCAATCACTCGTAACGCTTTCTCTGGACTCTGTCGTAAAATTGTATGGATATTAATCTCCACAGCTACTTTATCGACAATCTCGTGTGCAATGCGTTCCATTAATGGGACCATGCGTTCATCTGTATTGTAGTGTCGAGAGATAATCCAAACCATTCGAATAGCATTCATCATTGATGGTAACGTGTCTGCAATGGTTGAGAAGGAACCACTCGCAATGTTTTTAAAGTGACGTTCTAATGTTGTGAGGAATTTCACATTGTCTTTAGCTTCCACATATAATTTCGTGAGTTCAGCGAAGTGAGACTTGAATGTCAAAAGAGAATTTCCTTCCACGAGTTCCAACAATTTAAGCATCTTTTGAACTGTTGGCATGTTCACCTGCTCGTAAATGGTACTTAAAGCAGCGTTTCGCTCTCGCCAAAAATCAATTTCGGCTAAGGGACCTTTGCGTTTTGGACTCTTTCGACTCTCTTGTTCAACGACACTAGCTACAGTCTTAGACCATTCTTCAAACGTTTGTTCTAATTGAGCAATCAATTCATAATCGTGTATATGCGTCTCTGGTTTTGTGAGATTGATGTCAGGAATAATTAGGTGAACATCCCCTTGAATCCGTTGAATCGCACTGGTAATTTGAGAGGAAAATTTTACTAGATTGCTCTTAAACTCATTTCGTACAGCGTCGATTACCTTAAGAGCTTGAGAAGCTGCTGACGATGTTTTCACACCAATTTCATCACCATTTCGTCTAATGGAGTCGATTGATCCTGATAATTGGGGATCCAACAATGGCATGAAAACATGACAGAGAACACCTTCAAGATTCGAAAGCAAGTCGCCCGTTGAACAACCAAGCTCAAGATTTGTATAAACGATTATCTCTGCGTCACTTGTGTTTGTCTTGAGAGTAATGGGACCAGTCGCGACCTTGATCAAAAATACTGTTGCGGTCTTCGATGATTCGGCAGGAAGTGTATTCAAGTAGACATGACACACTGCACGTGTTTCAGTTCGCAATCGCTTTGTCAATGTCCTCACTGGGTCTACAAGAGAATCACTTTCTTCTTGAAGATATTTCTCATCCGTTGAATCAATTGGTATAACACTATCACTTGCTACTTCTACAATGCATTAAAAACATGAGGATTGAAAGTTATACTTGAGACGTTGCACAGCTTTCGCTTACCTGTACTCGACTCATCTTTTACGATTTTAATTGTTTCCTCAACTTCCTCTTCGACTTGGTATTGTTCTTCTGTCTTGTAGAAAAACAAGATACTTCCACCAGGACTCGACGAAGAGAAGAAAGATTGCACAAGTTCTATCGTAGTTCCTGTCAAGAGATTGTCAACGAGTAAAGGATCAAGTTCGAGCGTTTGCGAGACAAGGCGTCGAAGCCAGCGACGCGTAACTTCATCTAGCGACATAAGATCCAATGCGTCGTTTCAATTACGTTCTGGATACTTGTAATGTATACAGGATATATAAGCTCGATTGATGAGACCGTGAGATATAACACATTTTGGTGGGGTGTTGGTTTTATAACGGTCTATCAAGAAAATGCTGGAATTGCTGATTAAATCACTTTGAATCAAACAAGACATAAGGTGAATGGAGGTCCAATCGTCTGTGAATTCTGAAGTGACAAATGAGGTAAAGAGTGAGTCCCAATCGACGATTGGAATTGAGGAGCTTGAGCGAAAGCAGACCGAGGACAAAACTTGGCCTGACAAAAGTAAAAGTTTGTTTATCACCTATATGCACACACAGGTATTATCGATGTCACGTCTTGAGCTACATCGACGCTGTGTTGAAACAATTGAACGTTATTCGCGAAGTCTCCGAGAAAGAGAACGAAAGATGGAGCGACTACAGCTACCTCTGCCTTTTTCTCAAAGTGATAAGACCCAAGCAATCCCACGGACAATAACATCAAGAAAGAAAATGGCGTGTATATCAACTTTAAATCGGAAGAAAAGAACACGGAAGATTTTAATTCCAGTTCAGTCGTTGAATTCCTCACTTGTGTCGAAGATTTAATATATATTAGAGTGGAGAGTTTGGAAGTATGAGGACATTTCGATGTTGTTACTTGTTTAGAAAGAAGTGACTCAATATGTTTCGTTTATCTTAAAGTAGAAAGACAAAAAGCAGCTAAATTGACCGGAATATGGCTACTAAGATATTTCATTTAACTTGTAAGCAGTTTTTGTGTCGGATGAACAAAGATATTTTCACTAGTATATTGTGGTGGCTTTTTCGTCTTACGGTTGTGTTATCTACAGCACGAATGAATAGATGAATGCTACAAGCTTTTCAAAATCATACAAGTGGATTGTTCCCCGTCACGATCGATGCGAGCGATTTGGTATGAAGGAGATTAAGAAGAAGGATATCGTTCTGAAAGCGGTTGATGTGGACAATCTGGAATATGTTCCTCGCCAAAAAGGGCGACTATACAGAAGCGACGCGGAAGCTTTGACGTTTGATGAGAACAGATACCCGAAAGGCTTCACTGATCGAGAACCACAAGAACTTTGGAATGGAATTTGGGCCAGAAACTTACGTGTTGGTGGTGATTCCGTCGCATATAGTTGTGCCAGATGATAATGACAGGATCACCCGCCAGTGCACCTCAGTAAAGATAGGAGCGACGATTTGATGACTTGAATCGAATTCTATCCTAAGCCGGAATTGAATGCTTGAATTACAAGAAAATGAAGCGATAATCCAATTTCTCTTCGATATTGTTGCGCTGTTGTTTGTCCCCTTTATGACAATACAGGAACAAGAAGAAAAAAGTATCTCAGATGACATTTTGAACGAGCTGCAGGCCTATTCTGTCCGGGCCTTTGTGTTGGCTAGTTGTTCAGAGACTACTTCCAACATAATTACTGCACCAGTACTGATACAAGTATGTGCATTGTTTAACGATGACATCACGAAGAAAGTTTAAAAGGAAAGTATGTGAAAGCAATTGAACGTTGTGAATGAGAGGATTCAAGAGCATTTTTATTGGAAAAGCCATCAAAGACAAATTTGAGCAAAGTGCTGCACAAAAATTAGTTGGAGCCGAAGTTGCAGCTGAGGATGTTGGCTGTAAGATCGTGACAAACTTCAAAGAATTCGTGTCAAACTGATCGACTTTTTGGACTGAATACTATTGGTTACCTTGGGATGAGGAACCATACACAGAGGTGATAATGGAATACCTTTGGGAAAGTATCCAAGGATGAGAATACCATACCCAGCGCACAGCAAGGCTATTTCTTACAATCAGACATAGAATCATCATTACAATTCGATCAAGCGCATTGACGCTGTATTTAACGGGGAACCACATGGCTGGCGAACGACGACAACTTGGATGGTCTTTTGCAAGGAGATTTCAATACTTAAATCTTAGATTCGTTCAAGTTTTCCTTCAATGAAGGATATTTCTTCTTGATACCTCTTCATCCAGTAATGTAACGTGTAAGAGTTGGAAAAAATGAACACTAAGACAAGAAATGATGAAGGAGCAATGAGTTTTAGTGGACTTAAGAACTTGGTGTGTAGGGTTATGATTGGTCGGTTCGGTGATTTAAATCACGGTGAAGAACTTTACGCACTACTGAATTTAGATAAGTAGATGTGACGAGAAGTTTGCGATAGCTTGTGGTATAGAATATTAATGACTCGTAGCTCATCCACGATTACAAAGTCTCTGTTTCGATACCCTACTTGAGCAATTTGTTTTTATAGTCCATCACACGAGTCCAAGAGGAATTGTAAAAAAAACAATAGACTATTGTAAGTGACTCGGTCTTATTAACTTCATTGCATACCTAGAGCAAACCTACATTTTTTAAATAAATATCACAAGTTCCAGGTTGTGATATAAGCAACATCCAACGGCAGTTCTGTTGGAGGATCGGCTGGAGAGAGCCGAAAGTTATCACACGTTTCCTTGTCTGGCACC